GCTAAAAGCTGCTTGTGTTCTCTGCCAGTGTCGCTGCAATAAGAGTTGAGGAATAGACAAGTTTCCATCATAAGCTACTCTACCGAAGATCAAAGGAGCTGACATCACGTGCGACCATCTGTGCGAAGACTGTAAAGTTATATATTACATTTCTTTATGACTGTATGATTTATGACTGTATAGTTATTAATATTACAGGCAAAACATAGAAGCTTGGCAACAAGATATTTGCCACAGCTCCTCACTGACTATTTCAGCAAGTGGCACCTCGGAACAGCTAAAAGCTGCTTGTGTTCTCTGCCAGTGTCGCTGCAATTTTACTCCGAAATGCTTAGCCCGGCACATTTGTGAAATATGTCTGCAACGCAGACACCTCCTACCTCTATAATGCTAATGGCTAAATCCGTGGTTCTAAACAGTTCTACTCTATTTTCGGGCCAAACTCCACACGAGCTTCCGTCTTCAAAGCATAGCACCGTGTTCTAAGAGCTTTGATAGGCATGAGAGGGAAAGCATTTCCCTTGCCACTGGGTATAGATGCGCTGTTAACATCCGACTTATAATCCACTTTCCGATCGTCGAGCTGTGCCGCCCCTACCATTGGTTCGTAGCACCTAACATTGACTGTTTCCTGCAGAGTATATAAAACGAGTGGTGCGTTAGTGGACTGGCAGTCTGATTAACTTATCCGCCTTCTGAACGTGATTAGGCCGCCCAATCTCTGTAACGATATTGGTATGCCGGAACAAGTCTGGCAGAGAGATCAGCACCTAACCAACTGGGATCACCCCAAAGGCGAGTGGGTGGTGCGGAGAGAGTGCGGGGTGATTGGATATTCAAGTAAGTGGACATGCTCACACATCCGGCCTGACCCTGAGGCCTGAGGCCGCCCGATCATTCCATCTCTCTCAGAATCGGTAAGTGCTCGAAATGCTTGACGAGAGAAGATTGTGATTCTCTACAGGAGGGATCTGTGTGTTGAACAGGAAGCTCGACATTGGGTGGAACTCAAACTGGTGTCCATGATTCCTAATAAACACATATCTTGATGGTCTGATTGTGATGTATGATCATAGCTCAGAAGAAGACATAAGACCATCCAAGTGCAAGTGCAAATAATAAGATCGTGACCAGAGTTAACTCATGTCAACATCCATCGTATGATTGAGCTAGTGTACGGATTTGAATCATCTATACAATATCCAGGTACAGAAGAAACGAAGTTAAACTGTAGATAGCACATTAGGAATAAATTTATTTGTGTAGGTAATAAAAGTGCCGTACTGTTAATAGCAATAGTAGCACATCTTGGCGCATAGGTCTTTCGCAATTTCGCAATTTCCTCGTTCGTACATATCATAACAACTCTTACTGTCTAATTTGTTTTTACAATCCTGAAACCGGTAGTGTATGAGAAAATTGAATACTGTCCGGGTTTATGCATGTTTTACTACAGTACCAGGATTATACTGAAGTGTGAATATGAGATCAAGTTTATCATGCTGTATTCATTGGCATAAAAATGTTACTCACCGATTCAGGTTTTCTAGGCTCCTCAGGGGTACACCACTCGCAAGTTTTAGCACAGACTGTCTTCGCAAAATGAACAGAACTTCCCATAAAGCACTTTCCTTTGCTTTTAAAACGAAGACAGAGCCCTTCGCTAGCGTCGTCCACACACGGCTGAAATGAGTGGCATCTTATAGATAATCAAATTCTTCTAGAATTCGAGCACTCCCAAATTGAGAAGCAGTGTTAATCGGCTCTACTTTTGCCTGAGAAAATCTCTGATGTATCCAATACAGGCTTACACTAATTGTGGTAAACGCTGAGCTGTACCTCATTGGTTTTGGCCGCGGAGGCGTTAACCAGCACGAAGACGAAGGCAAGACAGAAAAGCATGATGAAAGTGGATGAACGGATGTTAAGCATTTGGCGCGCTATTTATATGGCACAATTTTCGCTTGAAATGAGATCTAGTGCGTGTTTGTTGCAGGTGTCTAACTACAGGTGGGCAAGGTTTTTCCGCAAGTATTAATAAATATTGGAAACGATGTCATTATTCAATGTACATATAATGTTTGACTGCGAGATGACTGCTATACTTCAATCATTATATTCGAGTGCCTTGAATGTGGAGCTCTGCATTTGAGAGATTTTTGAGAGAAAGCTGTTTATGGTCATGGTATTTCTAGGACATACAGCAATGCCTTATCGACTCTCACTTTTCTTACCTCCGCAACCAATGCATGCCTTGTTCAGTAACGCATACTCTTTCTGAACATAATAGCCAGGTGTGATTAGTGCTGTAAAGCCGAATTAAGTGTACTAGCGAGCACATGATCGCCTAGCATCAGAAAATCAAAATTATTCACCAATTTTATCCTGTATTGGGGATGCTCAGTAGGATCTCGTCATTCCTTAGGAAAGCCATAACCAACACAAAAAGCTGTCCGCGTTTTCTACTTCGATCCCTTCAATAGTCACATTTACCTATGAACTTACCTATCTTACAAGAGAAGGAAATTTGTGGCCAGCCAAGACGATGCATCCCGCCGTAGGTGGTTTCAAACGCTGATCTCTAATTTCTGTTATAAATCTGCTAAACGATTCAGAGAGCAATTTCCCTGTGTTATATCCCTGTGCGAACACACAACCGAACCGAGCAAAACGCATCTGTGCAACGGTGGCGCAGCTAGTACTATAATGGACTGATAGGCATGACATCAAGGTTTGACCTCTTGATGCATGTGCTCGTTTGCTTTCCCATTAAATGCATCCCCAATGTATTTCACTCAAACTAGATGTTTCAGAATTATTATGAATTTTGTATGCCTTCAAAGCACTTTAACCATTAGGGCCAATCTGTTCGACAACTCCCATTGAAAAACGTCGCGGTAATAACAAGAGCGGCAAATTTGAGAGCTGTACAAAGGTGAAAATCCAGCTAGAGGCCATTTGAACAAGCGTTTTTACCCTGGGTGACTGCTTGAAGTACGCTTCACGTCCTAAACTTGTTCGAATCATACAAGAGAAACTGATCTCCCATGTTTCGGAATTTGTTACTTCTGATCACCTTCTCGTAGAATGAACATCCTTTGAAATACGAGTACATTATGACTTCCCAGAGTGCACCTCTTCAAAAATCGTCAACTAAGTATATAACTATTAATTTGATAATAATTTCACGGTAAGAGCATTTGGCTGGTGCTGTGAAGGATTTAAAGAGTCGAAAAATGTATGTGTCGTGAAGCCCACGACTTCTTAACATCTGGGCTGTCACTACAACGCGCACATACTATTCGACGCGCATCGCCGTCACCATCGATTGCGCCGTCGTCATCGATTGCCACGTGGCATTGGGCGTGGCGCCGAGTGTGCACTCAACACCTTGTCATTCAGTGCCATGTCAACGCGCCGAGCGGTCGGTTTTCTATTTCGTGTGTCGTATTCTCGCAATTCCATCGTTATCGTGTAACCTCCGACTCAGAAGGGATCGGAAGCACTCAAGAGATCGCACTGCCAAAGGAGAGGAGGTTAAAGAGGCTCCAGGATGCGAGCTGGAGGATGGAAAGGAAAGAGTTGCCAGCCATCGCCGGACGGCTGAGATCATCAGCAGTTCGGGAGTATTAGGAGCACCATGAAGCCTCGGGTCAGCGAAGGAACTCGGGGCCGCGGAGAGGAGCGGTCCGTGCATGACACACGTCTGCGGACACCGCATCGCACTCCT